CGAGCGATGGAATCAATAGTGAAAACATAGAGCTCAAAATCTGCTCCAGTTCAAACTGTAGTGTGCCTTCTTTTGGCATTAGTCTGAATCTGAGCATGCCCAGTGGGAAAGTCAAAACTCTTGCTGTGAAAAATCTAACGGATAAATTGAGAAACAACTTTCGCGAAAGTGAACATTCCAGCCTCTTAGTATCAGCCACACTAGAGAACAACAATGATTCATCTTTAGAAATAGAACTGGACTTCCCTGCAGAACGGCAGGACCTTACTAAACGTTTCTGTGTCTTCTGGAACACCACAGATGAAAACTGGTCAGAGGCTGGATGCACTTTAAAAAAAAAAAACGATGGGAACCGCACATTCTGCCAGTGCAATCACCTGACTTCATTTTCTGTCCTCATGGCAAAGGGTGATATATCTAGCAACACTCTAGATATCATTACCAATGTGGGCCTGGGTGTGTCCATCTGCTCTTTGCTGATCTTTCTTACCGTTGAGTCTTTAGTGTGGTCGGCTGTAGTCAAGTCAAACCTCTCACTTTTCCGTCACACAGCCCTGGTGAACATTGCTGTGTTTCTATTGCTTGCTGACTGCTGTTTTCTGGCTTCTAGCTCTCCTAAGAGTCTCAATGAAAACTGGTGCCTAATTTTGACCATCTGTAAACACCTGTTTTTCTTAGCCATGTTCAGCTGGATGCTGTGCATGAGTGTCATGCTTGTTCACCAGCTCATCTTTGTCTTCAGCCCACTGAGGAAAAGAGTGTTTATGTTCCTCTCCAGCATTGTAGGCTATGTTTGCCCAATAGTTATAGTGGGTTGCAGCTATGTCTATAGCAAATACACCAATACGCCCTACTACTGTCGTAAAACATGTTGGCTGGTTTATAAAAAACTCTTGGTGGGCTCCATACATGCTTTCCTCCTCCCTGTGGGAACCATTATTTTGACAAACCTTTTTTCCATGGTGGTCGTCATGATCACTCTGGTGAAGTCCTCTGTCCCTGACAAAAGCAAGGCTGATGACAAGGAGACAATCAAAAGCATCATTAAAGTCGTCGTTTTTCTAACCCCTGTTTTTGGATTGACATGGATTATTGGATTTGCACAGCTCATGTTGGATGAGGAGGGCCCCTTCTTTCAAGTTGCTATCTACAGCTTCACCATCCTCAACTCCTTCCAGGTACTTTGAATATAATACTTTTTGAAAATGAAGAGTTTCTTGTGGTGTGGAGGTCCTTGTTGCTTCTTGAGGCTACCAGTTCAAGACTACATCAGTCACATCCAGTATAAACAATCCAAATCTCAACCCCATCTGGCAATTGCAAAGTTGTATTGTAGGCTATAAGTTTGGACAAGAAGACTGCATAGAACAAAATAAGATGACTGAGGGGCTCAGTTGTATGATTGTGTTGTTTGTAATTCAATAAAATAATTAGAAAGTAGTACATATATTTTAATGTTGATACCATTCTCCTTAAAGAACTGAATTCTGAGCCAGTGCTTTTGCTGCCTTTACCCAAAGAATGTAGTCTTGAACACTGGCCTAAATGAATTATTACAAAATAATGTCACTGGATTATTGTATATAAATGCTTTACACAAAAAGTATATGCGTAAGAACAGTTACTATATTTGACATTTCTTCTGTTGCAGGGCCTTTTCCTTCTGCTTACAGGGGTTTTTGCAGAGCAGAAGGTATGTTTGACATTTCACCCCTTAGTTATTAATGAATACGAATCACAGATGAGTTGAAAATATCTAAAATTGCTACTTGTCATTAGCATGGAAATACTCAAAATCTATAAATAGCCTTAAGCTAATAAATACACTTAAAGGAGCAATATGTAACTCTGACACCTAGTGTTTAAAATCAATACTGCAGTCCAACTTTATAAACATTGTAGAGAGCTGTCTCCCCTGCCCCGATGTGAGTCGATGTGCACAAAGATTGACTATCTCCAGACACTGAAGCTTCAGTGTTTAGCCAGCTCTGCATCGGTCTTGAAACTTTTCTGTGTTCTAACCTCTCTCCATTTTACAAAAGCATTTCTAATATTTATCCTTGTTTGACCACGTTTCTGCTCATGGAGTTTATTAGAAAAATGCAGAGGCTTTTTTAGTCAATTAGAATCAGTTATAGCGCGGCAATCGCTGCAACACCTGTTGGTTTGCCATTTGCAAACCAAAGGGCGTCCAAAACAGCTGTGTGTAGGGGTCATAAAACCGCCTACTTCTCTGGTCAAAACAAAAACAGAGCATTCAGGACCAGAATTTAAACTTAGAGGGAGGGCATACTGACTGCTGCATTGGTGTTAGAGAAGCCAGCACTTAAACATAGTATGTTTCCTTAATGTCTGATGATGTAATAAGGTCATGTTATGATTCAATTCAGTAGATAACTTACATGTTGCTCCTTTAAGCTAAATGATATTCAAATTAAATATCATAGCAATCTGTCTCTGTTATTTTGAACAGGTCCGAGAGGAAATATTTAAGCTCATAATGGTGAGTTTAACAACATGGTCTTCCAGGATTACACTGTGAACCGATGAAAACATGCTTCATTACTGTGTTTGCTTCTACCATCAGGCCAAATCAAAAGGAAAAAGTGAGAGCATGAAGAATCTGACTTCCACCACGTACACCAAAGACAAATGAAGACTGAGGTCAGTTTCATCTCATTAACTTTATTTTCTTTACTGTGCTGGGGTTGCTGCAACTGCACTTGTACAGACCTGCTGATGTATAACCCACACATGTGAAGTTACTTTTTCTAATGTTTAGTTTAATGATTGCAAGCTTCCTATATTAGTTCAGTATGCAAACATACTTATTTCTCCAAATTAGCATCTCAAACGAAGGGCAATGGAGACTGAAGAGATGTGAGACTTGAGAGTAAATTTATTAGACAATTGTACCTGATGATGAGACCAGATTAAGAGTTACAATATCAACACAAAGTAACCTTTACCTTTAAATTGTTTTTCTTAATTTTCCATTGCAATGAATCTTACTGTACATATAAACATGTTAAACCCAGATTATTTAGCAATAATGGAGGGTTAATGTCCGCAGTTCTACTAAATTTCTGGGATATCATATTCTAACCTACAAGAATTTGCCACTATCTCCATAGAGTCAGAGACGTAAAGTGGTCGCTAATTCAAAACACTAGCGATTACATTAGATGATCCTTAGATGTCTTTCTACAGTGCAATTTGTCAATTATAGTAAACTCATTTAAGTTTGTACATAGTTTAACCTTCTATCAAAGAACTTAATATTATCTAACAGTTGTAGTACTAATGATTGAGGCAGAATATCACATTCATCCCATCTGTAAAATAATTCCACCTTTGAGTCATGTGAGTAGCGCCGGACCTGGAAGAAAATTTGGCTCTTTGAATTCTGGCTCAAACCCTTTACAATCGGTCGATCCGATCATGACAGAACTGTATAACAACCATGTGTCTCATGTTTAAAGGTCTTCCTCATTATTCCCCCAAAACATTGCAAAGCTGAGAAGTAAGCGTCATCGACATATATAAAGTGGGTGTTCAGTCAGTATTCATTGACAGCCTTGTGGTGTTAGGTGACTCTAGAATTCAAATATCATTACTCAAGTAGACATTTTTAAAAAGAAAAGTATTTACAAAAAGAGCAATGCATTGTGGGGCGGTTCAGTATGACCAGAGTGCTTCCGTTTCAAACTTAAGAATTATATCCGATCTAGTCAATTGAGCTCAATACAAAAAATCAAAAGTGTTTTTAGAGTATATTTAATATGTAATCGTCTATCACTTGGTCACACAGCAGCACGTACAGCAACACATTCTCCTGTCGTAACCAAATCGCAGGCTATGCCATATTGCACAAAACTGGTTTCCCTATGCAGAAAATATTTGTGAATTTGTTCAACAAGTCAATGAATGTTCTAAATACTGGGCCATGTTTCCATTTCAGGTTTTGGGACCAAAACAACATCGTACCTGTGTGCAACTCCACCTTTTGTTAAATGATAGTGAAGTTTCTTTGTGGATTACACAGGTGAAGATTGGTTGTACTAAGACGTTTGTACTAAGGTAGAATCCTTACCTTTTGACCATATTTATTTATTTGATGGCTGTGACCATTACTGTTATTGATACTAGTAGTAGCTCTTAATTTGTCTGAATAAATCCAATATTGCTCCAAGGAGACATGAATATTGTTCATGTATACCTTTGAATGCATCCTTGTTATTTTTCAGGTTTAGCAGATGCTTGTTTTTCCATATCTCTTTTAAGTACCAAAAAATAAAACACAATAATAGGCGGTAGATTGTAAATCTTGATTATATAATATATATATATGTATATGTTTTTTTTAAATACATTTGGCTAGGTTTGATCATTTTGTTTAAAGTAGGAATGTACGACACTATACACATAAATACAGCAGAAATCCAGTATATCCTCTGTAAATGTCTCTCTGAATCCTGATTGTCTGCAATGTGGGAGAAGCGAGAGTCCTGCTGACTGTGTTTTTTGTCGTACCTGTGTTTTTACATGGACGGATCGACTCCTCTCCTTGCATATATTTGGCTTATTTAGATGAAACGTTAACATTGTTAGAGCACAGTCATTCCATGTCAATTTGCGAGCAATGTGAAGCTACGACTCCGAGCTCACCAAAGAGCGCTGACATTAGCCTGCCAACAAACTGATGCAGGCCAGAGACAATTTGCTGATCAAGCCAAGGAAAATTTTGCTCGCTAATTTCGCTCGACTCCTTTGGGTTGCTGCAGGAGAGTGGAGGCTTAGGTATGGCGGAGGTGTGGCCAAACAGCTTCAGTTTGTTTTGGTTTCATGCTGGTCTTCAAGGGCGACAGCTACTGGATCAAAAAAGCCACACATTCTTCCTTTAAAGGAAAGCGACATGAACCATTATCTGTAATATGTGTGTGACTATGTAGCTAAATAAGTTTTGGTGTTAAACAATATGTATGAATAAAATAAAAGAGAAGATTATATTGTCTTTTATTGTTCATGACTTTGCATGCTTGAGAAATTTCCATCAGAACTATATATGTTTCCTCATAAGATTGAATTATCAATGATGATTTCCTTCAGTGTACAAATGGAAAACAAGCATAGGAAACACATCACAGGGGTCAGTTCTGTTGTGGCCCCAGTCTTCTTTAAATCCTCTGATGCAAGCTTAAGATATTGTTGTTTACTACATTTACTACACTGACTGCTGACAGGTAAAAGTTTTCTGATGCATTGTAGAGACTGGTTCATTGAGAGACACATAGATATCTCAGAAGATCATGTCAAAATTAGCCTGTTGGTACGTCACTCTCCAGTACAGACACAGTGATTTGAGTGCTTTAAAATGGAGACTAACACATGATTCCACTGAAATGAGCTTCACTGAGCTCTCCTAATGACAGTGAAGATAGCAAGTGTCAGCACAATGGTCCCTGACGCACCACCAATCAGAGCTCCCAAAATGCTTCTGTCTATGTTTGGTTCCTCACAGCTTCGGCCGGTGTAGTAGATGGTCTGTGTTGATGCACACCTAAGAAGCAGAGAACAGAAGTTTTAATGTAAAAAATATGACCTGAAGCTGTAGACTACACACAAATAAAAACACCTAAATATCCTGACTGCCTTGTAAGAGGACAATAAACCTCAACCTCAAAATATGATTAATGTCTTTTAGTCATGAATGAATTTGACATATTTTAGGTGATAAACTTCCTCCTCTGGCTTTACTTAAAGCAGGGTAATAATACAAGATAATCAGGCCAATTCTGGGCCCTATTCCCCCCTGCGGACCCATGTTAGCAAAATTCGGATTATCTGACTGTTCCAAATATTGCCAGATGTTCCTGCGGAGTAATGTGCGTTCAGAGTGATTTTACCCTCCCCGATCTGTTCAAATTAACAGTGGCCACTGTGGTTTGAAATTGTAGATATTTAACATGTTCAATATCTGTGGGCTGTCATGTTGAACAGAACACAAGCCAATAGGAGGGAAGCAAGCTGACGCAGGAAGCACGACAAACACAACCATGGTGACGACAGCAAATAGAAAGCATCAAGTTAGAAGGATGTCAGAATTAGAGGAGCAACTTGTTGATTTGTGGCAACAACACGAGTGTGTATACAACATGTGCTGTAAAACATAAACCACAACCGAACGGACGAGGAAAGGAGTTGGACAGAAATTGTTACAGCAATGGATCTACCAGTTAGCTTAACAACTAGCCACATTTCACTAGATCATCATGTTTGTTTACTCTTTGGTCGCGTTTGACCTTGTGTTTATTTCAAATTCTTAAGAGAGCAAGTATTCTCCTGGCTCAAAGGCTATGCTCTGGAAGGGAATAAGACGGCTTTTCAAAATGTCAAATAAATCATTTACAGGTACTAAAGAATGTACATGTGCATTTATCCACAAAATAGGAATATTGTTGTACCTAAATCAAGCCCAGAAGCTAACATTATATTTTACCTTTAGGAAAAACAACAGGATAGCTTTTTCCTTCTTGACCTTTGGCTAGCTCCTTTTTCCCCCCTGAGACATTAAATCCTCCCGGTACTAAACTCTAAACTCTAACTCTTAAAACTGATGGGTGTGGGCCTGATGTTGGTGCCATCTCTAGCATTAGGTTGCGCCTGATGAGTGTAGACTTAAAAATAGACCTTATAATATCTACCAAATAGGTTAAACAAAATCACAAATTGCTGTTGGCTATTTAGTTTGTTATTTTGTTGTAATAAATCTTACACAGAGGATTTGTCTGAGTCCCTGTTGCTGTGGTTGCTTATCTTAGATACCGTCTGCAGCACACTCATTTGAAACAGTAAACAGGTTGTTTTGCTGGAACTACTTCCATAGGTATCCATATATCAAAAGTTCATGGACACCCATGCAACACTCTTTAGCCAATCATAATCGAGTATTTACCCATATTAAAGTATAAGTAATTCGAATAGTCCCATATATTTTGAAACACTAATCACTTAACTCCATAGAAATACAAACACACACCTGCATGAGGCTGCTCCTTCCGTCTCCACGCACAAGCCTCCATTAAAACAAGGGTTGGGATAACATGGGTTGACAGCCCGTGCTTCTCTGTGTATCAGAGCCTCGGGTTTCCTTTCCATCTCGCCAGCTTTCTTCTCGGCTGTGGTGTCCTCACTTGATAAGACTGGTTTGACAGTCACCTCTGTCTTTATCAGGTGGGTCAAATCTAACAAATGAACAGGTGATTGAAAATGTGAAATATATAATAACTTGGTAAGATTTGAATATAAAGAAAAAAAGGGACGCTGATATTTCTCACCAGTAAAGTCAGCAGTGATGATGAGGTCATCGTTTTTAAGGAAGCTCCTCCTTTGCAGATGCTTGTGAGATATGAACGTGCTCCAACCAAAGTCCTTACCACGATAACACTGACAGCTCTCGTCAAACAGCGCTCCTGAATCAGCTGTCGGTCTGTTCCAGCGAGCATCAGTATCTGAGTGAGAACAGTCAAAATTAAACGTGTTATGCTTTTGTCCAGATATTTTCATATTTTCAACAAATGTCACACATTAGCTGTTTAAACAAGATATCAGTTTACTGTCATGATGTGAAGATAAACAAATCTAAATGAACAGGTTTGATCTAAACGAACAGAGTTTTAGTTTAAGAGCTTTCTAAGATGATTTTTTTAAAGGTCACATATTATGCAAAATACACTTTCCCATGTTCTTCTATAACATGTGTCCCTAGTCTGTCTAAACCCCCCAATTATGAAATAAATCCATCCTCTCCGTCTTTTGCCTGCTCCACTTTTCAGAAAATGTGTGGTCAAACAGGCCGAGATTTTCCCTTCTTGACATCACAAAGGGCAGTGACCCCTCCCCCAGGTGGGTGACACTCCCACAGCTAGGTGTTTGTTCTGCCCTCTGAGTCTTCCTTCTCACAAACAATAGCGCATGGAGCGAGAAAGACCGAGCCACCAAAGCCCTTCCAGAGAGGGGCGTGGTCTAACAAAGCTCATCTACAGACACGGAAAACAGCCTGTTCTGAGCAGGGGGGTTTATAGAGTGGATTTATAACAAGAAACTAGACTTACTTAAACTGGTTGAAAGGGAAAATAATATGTGACCTTTAATGTGAGTGATGACAGCTATAGAGGACAAATCAAGATTTTTCAGAGGTGAACATCACACATAAGCAGAAAACATGATTGTGGAAGAGGGGCTGTGATATAGTGATAATTCTGTTCCGGTAAAATATATTCAACAGTAAGAGGCTTTAATTAAACTTTTATATTTTCAATGGATTCAAATACTTTTTTAAAAGTTTTTTTTTGGGGGGGGGAGTTGCCTTTATTTAGAGGTAGGACAGTGGATAGAGTAAGAAATCAGGGAGAGAGAGAGAGGGGAATTACATGCAGGGAAGGAAGCCACAGGTTGGATTTGAACCCAGGCCACCTGCTTGGAGAACTGGAGCGCACCAAACACTACACTACTTGCTCCCCTGGATTTAATTTTATGTGACACTGAAAGCTTATAACAATGAACAAATCCAACCCAAAACACTACACGCTACAGTCTAGCTTCACTATAAAGTTTTTAGCTAATTTGTTTGTCAGGATAACTTGACTGTTTGAAAGTTTGTGCACTTCCTTTTGGATTAAAAAGTCATTTTTCTTATCAAAGGCAGGGTTGGTAATTTTCGAAAAACTAGTCAAAACAAGCATCATTCCCTCAGTACACCCACCCCCTCCCCTCTGTGCTCCCTCGAAGCCACACCCCTGACTTACATGTACTAGCACCGTGGTCCTAGATGCAGACCTCAGCTCATCGCTTGCATTGTAAAGAAACTTTGTCATCTCATTCAGCGGTAAGTAAACACTAAACTTTATCATAATACATGTGAGAAAAAAAACGTGACTATTTTACTACTCACAACGGCCAATGCACATCACAGTATAAACTGTCATCGGTGACGCACTTTGAGTGTGGGCTAGTGTACGAAAGGGGTAGAGAACGAGCAGAAAGACAGGGAGGCGTGATTGGTTCATCAATAGTACCTTGTGGCAACATTGGATGAAGTTTTTACATGCTTACAACATGCTACAGATGACACATTTTCGTTGAACCTTTTTCAGAGCACATGGGTTATTAATGTCCTAAAGACAATGTAAACCAAAATCTTAAAAAGTGTATCTGGAGAAATTTACCAACCCTGCCTTTAATGGCCGCACGAAATAATGATTTAGGAGTAAAAATTCTGATTTCAGTCTTGTTGATTTTATGAAACCTGTGATTACTGATAGTGAGGTAAGTGTGTTTCAAGGTTTCTTTCCTGTCTATTGTTAGATGTGAGAAATGTTTTTGACATGTTGCTGAATTTGTAAGATGTTGATTTCGATACTCTGACTGACGACATCTCAGAAACTGAACGACAACCAAACATCAACAGTGTTACAATACTGGCCATGACAAACACTTTCATCTCGCTAGTGAAATGCCAGGGTGCTTACCTGTCGTAAAGCTTCTCGTTGAAGACATCCGAAGTTTTGCGTCTGGGTCCTGGTCCATGACTACAAGCGTTGCCTGCATATTTATGGCTGGCCACTGCATCACTGCATCATTTTCTCCACTGCAGAGGTGCATGGTGAGGCCAACATAGTGTGGGTACTCAACCTCTTTACCATTTGGATAAATGCTGATACCGAAGGAGTAGCCATCAGAGTTGTAGAAACACTTGCTTTTAATAGGATTGGCAAGAGGCGTGCTGCCTACAATGCCAGTAAAATTGCGGATTTGCCAGACGGCACCAGGGCAAATGGTTTCCGTTAGAGTGATGTCATCAATAAGGATGGCGCCAGTGGAGTCAGATGCTCCTCTGATGCCTTGGAAGATATAACGGAACTTCTCAGTCACCTTGAGAGTCACATGGGCAATTTTCCAGGAAGAATCTCCATCACCTGAAAGAGAAAAATGCAGAAGATATGGGGGGTTTAAGTACATATTCAGTAAAATATTAATTTATTTAAAGAGAGAAATATATCCTACTAAATACCAAAGGATGTGTTAAATATTATTCTTACAATGGTGCATTAAATGGATCGGCTGTATAGAGAGGAAAACTTCACACCACATTTAACTCTGCAACGTGTCAAAAATAGAGGGATATACCTGAAATGGTGTGGATCTTTTTGAGACTGTTTACAGCCCCTGTTCCATCATCAGTCCTGATCCATATCACAAGTTTGTCTGAAGCTGACCCAGTCATCTTGTAGAAGAACTGCAGGCACTGCTCGCCCCTCTTTGGGTAGAGGATACGTGACTCCAGCAAGCCACTGCTTCCAGCTGCACCGGAAGACGTGTCAAACCTCATGAAGTAGCCGGAATCTAAAAGACAAGCAGTGATCTGTGAACACTTTCAAACTGAATTCAATTGATGACTTGGATTATATCAAACGTAATATCAGCCTTACACCTATTATTATTAATATAAATGTTATAGTGAAACTTAGAGCTCCTCAAAGTCAACCTCTATAATTAACAAACTTAGTTGTTACTGCTTTCAATACTCATACTTCTACCATGATTACTGACATTGTAGCTATAAATCTATCTTATTTATTGTTGTTGTTGTTGTTGCTCTGTTTGTCTCTAACCTTCTTCCTGCATCTCCCTCTATCCCACTTATCAAACCCAACACAGTCTCTCAGCAGATGCCTGTTCAACATGACTCTGGTTCTGCTCGAGGTTTCCTCTCCACTGTAACTTTCTAACCTTCTGCACATGCTGTCTGTCCCACAGACACCTCTTAAGACTTGTGGTAATGGTGCGTTTGAGGCCATAGCACCAATCCCATAGACCTTTGTCTGTTAAAAGTGCTATATCAATTAAACATACTTGCTTTGCTAAATGTTGAATAGTGCTCATGATGGATTAGCATTGGGTCTTTGTAGATAATACAATGAGTAAGGTCTTTTATCTGTTTTATTGTGAGAAAACATTTGTTATGTATTGGAGCTATATAATAAAGATTGATTTAATGATTGATTTAATGATTGATTGATTGATTGATTGATTGATTGATTGATTGATTGATGCCCGGTTGCAATAGCTGTAATAGTAGTACAGTATTATATGAAAAAAAGAGATTGCATCTGTTCCATATGATTTTATTTATTTTTAGGATATCAACAAACTATTAAACTGCACTGTAAAAATGCTATTTTCAAACTGTATCTACCTGCATTCAAAATCAGTTGTATTACATGTTGTTGTCATATAAACCTTTCCAAATATGTAGAGAATCATCTTAGTACCTCTGCAGCGTCCTGCCAGGGTGTGGTCTGCATCAGCTGGACTACTGAGTGTTTGGACCCAGTCTGCGTTATCCTCCTCGTTTTGGATCATTCCACAGATGTTGATGAGCTCAAAGGAGCACTGGTCCAGGAGAGTGTGTGTGTTGGCTGCAAAAAGGACAGTTACAGTCCAAATTAAGCAAAACAAATAAGACAGAGATGAGCGCATGCTTTGATTTCATTTGGAGAATTTAAAGTATCTACTCATTAAAGTGGGATTTTTAATTATAATTTAAATGTCTCTTTAGTGTGACCTTCTAACTTTTAAAATGTATATGTAAAATATGTTCGTACATGCAGTAAAGATTGGCAATAGTCTACAGTTATGATTCTGAGCACCCAAGGTAAGCTAAGTTAGCATTGCCACTAACTGCTCAGAGTAACGTTACTTTCTGCCAGGGGCGTGACTGGGGCGTGACTGGGGTGGCCTGAAGTGTGTTGTGTGTACAAACTCACAAATATCTATCAATTATTTACCCTTTCTTACCTCACCAATCAGATCTTCTTTTATGCAAGATAATGGCAACATAAGCTTAGTTCTTTAATGACACATAAAGAAGATTTATGTTCAATGTCACAATTTAAAGTACAGCAAACTCCTGCATGGTCTAACTTGCAAAAATACATTCATTGGCAACGTTTTGGTCCTGAAACATTGCCAGTTAGTTCATTGCAAGTCAGACAGAGTGCATTTCTTTCCTATGCACCTCTCTTATGAAATAGATGTTCAACGTTTTTATTTAAAGTTTATCAAAGCTTTTAAAAAATGCAGAAAATTAAAGCCTTTGCAGGTTTTAACATAAGTCCCACCTCTGACAGGGCAAATAACCAATCACAGTTGAGGATTTTTGGACACGCCCCTGCTTTCTGCTGCTAAAGACTCCAACCACTTCCATGAGCAAATAGCTAACCTGTCTATCTGCTGATCAATGCAGAGCATGCAGGGAGTTTATTGTGTTATACATACATTTATATGCCCATCCTGCATGGGCTTACATGACACCATGAATTTAAATGTGCATAGTAGGGCTATTCATTGTCATGGAACAGAACAGTCATTCCAATATTTCAGGTTTTTCCGCTAGTGGGGGATCAATAAGTTTTACTTATCTTATTTTACTTAATTATATTAAGTCATCATATTTTGTATGCAAAAGGAAATATGAATCACTTTGTACTTGATCCAAATTCCACATCTAACAAAGTCTGTTTTCTTCTAGAATATTTTTGAATTGATTATGATTATGTTTCCAAGCTCTGTTTAAGGGCTTGTTTGCTAACTGTGGCTATTAATAAGGTTGAAGAGAGCAGAGTTGTGGACATTAAAACCAAAACAATAATCTTAAAGGTGCACTATGTAGATTTGGTAGTGAAATGTAAAAGTTGGAGAAGTTAAACAATTCTATGCTATATTTTCTGAACTGAATACAGAAACTTTATTCAAAGGAAAAAATGGGTCCCTGGAACAATGTTTGGAGCTAAAAAGCTACCAGGAGAGTTACGGTTTCACTGTTGTGGGGCCCCCACCATAACTTCTCATGTAGCATTTTATCGTCTAATAGTGTTCCAGGGACCAAATTTTCATCTGAGGACAGTTTGTGTAGAGAGTTATGAACATATACCACAGAATCTGTACACTTCTCCAACTTTGACGTTTCTCTACCAAGAATCCATAGTGCACCTTTAAAGTAAAAAGACAGTAGAGAGTGAGGTCATATGAGAAACAACAACATGTTAAGTGCACCACAATGTCTTTTTTTGTGAAGTCCGACAGAACCTCCCACTCCAAAATCAAGCCTCTGTCTATTCAGGAGTACAAGCTTGATTGAACAATTGATTGATTTAACTACAAAATGTAAAAGCACATTGTGGTGCACTGAACATGTTGTTTCTCAGGCCCGAAAGGACACACTCACCACAGTCGTACATGCGGTTGAGCCTGGTGATGTCTACAGCGCTAAAGTCCATACGCTGGCCAATCACCTCATTAAAATACGGTATGGTGGTGGTGATTGTTGGTACGCTGTCATTCTTGTTGAAGGACAGAGGCCTGTAGTGCATGATGGACTCGTAATCATAGGGCGTGTTCATATCAGTGATGAAGTCATCCTCGTACTTATTGAAATTGTTCTCCATCCCTGTGAAGAGTAAGGACATTGTTGTGCAGATATTACACCACCAAAGAATTCTCTTTTTTTGTTGAGACAGATATGGGGCCTTATCTACCATCATGACCATCAAGCTCTTGACTTTGTATATATCTGTGCATTTGCTAAGTTTGGACATGCTTTAATTTTAAACAGTTTCAATGGCATAGCAATGAATAAAAATAACTCCAATGTTGTCAATTATGTTGGTTCATATCATCCCCACTGTCCCTTCCCTGTATTTCCCATCTGTCTTTGGCTGTCCTATCCAGTGCTGTGGTGCAGGGTAAATACAGGAATACAGAGTACACTTGTTTTTCAGTCTCCATAGGGTATACCCACTGGTAAATAATAACTGCTTACTTGAATTGCAAAACCAATGCATCATATAACTTGTTACAAATAAAAAGTGATCAGAGTTAGTACAAAATATGGCTACAAAATAGTGTTACTTACCTTCTTCAATCTGGTCCCACCAGATTTTGACATAATCGTCCCTATCAGAGCGAGACTGTTCATGGTAAAAGCCCAGAGCATGGAGGAGCTCATGCTGCACAATACTTTTAGTGTCACACCTGGCTCCAATGGACACATTCTGACCTTTTTTATCATCTCCCACATACGACCAGCATCTAATTTTTTGGATGAGATGAGAAATGTATTGGATTAAACACTCAACCTATAAGGTGATGTTTGTGAGCTCCGAGAACATTATACCACATCAGCATTTTCTAATCTTTGGTGCTTGATGCCTCCTTCTGATTACATGACAACAGTTCCCATAAAGTTGCACAACAGACAGACCCGTTGCCAAGTCCAATGCAGAAACTCACCCAGACAGCTTGGTGAAGGAGATGTAACTGGTCTCACCCTCATAGGGCTTAAAATCCACACAGGATCTCAAACGGTATTCCTCAAAAGCCTGGAGGATCACACCTTTAGCGTTGAGCTCTAAAACAATATAGAATAATTCCCAAATGAGCACATGTTTAAACTATTGGTAAGAAATGTATTCTTTTTGCACATAGAGTAGTACCTAAAGAATCAGTTAAGATATAAGGAATGGGAAACGTCCATCTTCTTGTTTCATTCAGGATTGCATTTCTGCTAGGCTGTGAAAGCATCAACATGAAAATATGTGTTTCAGTTCCTTACAAACATCTCCACATAGCCTCTCAGTATACTTACATTACCAGCAATGTCACCCTCAAACAAGTGGTTTGAGCCTGAAAATGTTCACATACGTATAATTAATTCAGCTCTAGTCAATACCACATATGATCACAAAACTGCAACAGTAAAAAGAGCTTTAAAAACAAACCTCTGTTGATCTCTAGGATGTCATCTCTCAGTTCACCAGCATCTGCATTATCACCTGGAAAATAAATGTAACGTTAGAGCCAATAAGTAAAAAAAAAAACAAGCTTTGTTTGGATCAATAAAATGAATAGAAACAAACCAGAGACTGTCGGAACCGCTTGAACCTAGAACACAAGATCAGAAAGTTAAAACTTCCTCTATGGACAAATTTGTACAGTTACACATTTAACACACACACCTTAAAAAACAAAAAGACTCCAATCAATGCAACAATCTTCCTCCAATAGTCCCTAGAACTCATGTTGTCCTCCTGACAGAAAAGTATGCATGTGTAAACATACACATAAGACAGTTGGAGGGGACCTTTGATCAGGATCGTAGTGTTTAATGAGTAACAGGATTTTCACACGTGCCATCATGTCTTCTTTTATTGCTAAGGCTACATGTTGTCAGGTGTGTTGGCAGGCACATGTGCTGATGAGAGCAGTGTCAACCCTGTGCAGAGGCAACCTAATCAATTGATATGCTTTGTCCTTAAGTCAACAAAACAAACAATTACGTTATTAATGGGTTTGACTTCCACAGCTCTGTGGCTGGCGACAGTTGTAATGTAGTCTGCTTCTTCAGAAAACTGTCTTGCAGTACCCTCTACATTCCTATACTTGAGCTGTGAATCCCCAGTCAGACACATGGCCCCCTCTATGTTGAGTTTGCATGAGCTCCGTGTCACATGTCAGCCCTGTGATTGACTGGTGACCAGTCCAGTTCTACCCTGCCTCTTGCCCAATGACAGCTAGGATTGACTCCAACCCTCCACGACCTCGAATGACAAAAGTGATACAGATAATGGATGGATGGATTATTAAAACCATAAGAGAGACTTGAATTGGACTTGCAGATAGATTAAAACTCTTGAAACTTGACTTCGTCTTGCCCCTTAAAGGACCAATATGTAAGCTATCTACTGAATGAAATCATAGAATGACCTTACTAAATCATCAGACATTAAGGAAACTATGTTGAAGTGCTGGTTTCTCAGACAGCAACACAGCAGTTGGTATGTCCTCCTTTTGTTTACCATCCTGAATGGTCTGTATTTGTTTTGACCAGAGAAGTATGCCGTTTTACGACACCTCTACACTACTGTTTTGGACGCCCCTCGGTTCAGTTATAACTGATTCTACCGGGCCTAAAAAGCCTCAAAGATTTTTTAATCAGCTCCACGACCAAAAATGTGGTAAAACTTGGATGACTATTGGGTATGCTTTTCTAAAATGGAGAGAGGTTAGAACGCAGAACAGTATCAAGCCTGATGCAGAGCTGGCTAAACACTGAAGCTTCAGTGTCCGCGACATAGCAACCTGTGTGCGCATCCATTCTAGAGAGGAGGGGGTGAGGGGAGACAGCTCTCTCCAATGTTTTGAATTTGGACTGCAGCAGTCCAATTTTCAAAACTAGGTGTCAGAGTTACATATTGCTCCTTTAAGACTTGAGACTTGACTTGAACTTCAAAATCAAGACTAATCTGACTTTATTTGCATTCTGACACGGACAAATTAAAATCAAACATGTGTTTAACATTTAGAGATCATTTTCTGTTTTCATTGGCATTAAATACACGCCCTTTTGGAGTCACAAAAAGAAAACAAACAAACACAGCAAAGACTTATTTGATAGCTTTTATTAAGACAACAGCTCAATCAGAAATAACTTTGTAATGAATGTTAAATAAATGGTTTTACTTGTATATGATATAACATGCATATCTCCTGACATTCTTATTGATGTGTTGAGGTTTGATACTGTGTCGCAGCAGTGTAATGTCATCCTCCCTCCATCATCACATGTATTCTTGTCATCCCAGCGGCATGATTGTGCATCTACACATTGTACATGAAAAAAAGCACTTCTTATATTATTTTGATCACCAACAAGTTTGATGTAGTTTTCAAAAACGAATGTGTCTAATGTCTTACCTCCGACACCAGCTGATTAAAACAATCCTGCTTGACTTTATTCCTTTGGTTTAATTGGGACTTCTGTTTTAATTAGTGATGTTATATCTGTGGACAAAAAAATTATTTAAGTATATCTGCATCCTGGCACATTTTTAAAACATCGAACTGGAGAAGAGTGATTGGATCAAAGATGTTCATTTGTTGACTTACCGTCAAAGTCAATGAAGATGATGAGGTCGTCATTCTTGAGATAATCCCGACGATTGAGGTCAAAGTGCTTGACAAAGTTTCTCCAGCCCCATGAGTCACCTCTGTAGCAACTACAGGAAGCATCATAGGTCCCCACCTTGGACGGATTGTCCCAAACAAACTTTCCATCTGGTGCTGGAAGACACAAAAAAGACAGAGCAACCAAGTGAGGAGGGATCCCACTCCTCATGACTCTGTAGTCTTTAAACAAAATGTGTTGCTTAAACTTTTGATGGGTGATGGCTTTTGGCTGCTTCGTCCATCCTTATATTCAGGAGTGAAATGGAAAACGGTTTTTGGATGGATATTCATGAGAGTTTGATAACAAAAATCTCTGACAGGGAATGAACCCTGATGACTATCTCTTACTTTGTCCTGCAGCACCATTCGGTGGTTAAGTGTGTGGTTTTGGTTCAAATGCAGGAAGTAATATAGACATTGCTGACCTTTTTAGGATAGCTTGTAATAACTGTGTTGATAATTTTTCATATAGCACCATCATTGCGTTACAATGATAAATTTGTTTCAATACTTGACCATATGAGCTCAATCATTACAAAGTGATAACTCAATTTAAAACAAAAGTGTCATGCAAAGGTTAACCTTCTTACATGCTTAAAATGATTCACTTGTTGGTCTTAAACAATGTTGTCATTATTCACGACACTGTACTGAAAACATTACCATTGTGAGCTACTAGCATGCCTGCTAATTTAAGGAATATCAAAGTGGACTTTGAAGTGGACTTCCTCTACGATAACAAAGAGCACAGTGTTCAGCCTTTTGGACTTACTCATCATCATATCAGTTGTGAGGCTCCGAGCAGTAGACATCCTCAGCGTTATGTCTGGGTTCTGGTCCATTACCACCAATTTCACCTGCCTGTTCACTGCTGGCCACTGCATAACCACATCATTTTCACCACTGGCCAAGTGGAAGTAAAGCCCGACGTAGTTCCCTGTGTAATCCTTGTAACTCGACAAAGGGATGACGAGGACACCATAACCGTATCCTTCCGGGCTGTAGAAGCGAGGGCTTTCAATAACTGTGTTGACATCAGCTGTTTCCATGATCTTGGAGAAGTTCTGGATCCTCCACACAGCATTAGGACAACGTGTTTCGCTCAAGCTTATGTCGTCGATGTAGATACCGCCCGCTGATGCAGAGGGATTACCACGCACAGCTTGGAAAGCATACCGGAATTTCACTCCTACCTCCATTTGGACATGGCCGATCTTCCATGAGTGGTCTGTATCAGCTGGGGACAAGAAAAAGGGAAAAGATGACAAATATTAGTGTTTGCGGCTTTATGATATGCCTTAAGAAGGATTGTGAAGCAATGGGGTGTTACGTGAGGGTAATATGATGCATTCAGATGTTCGATCATTACTGAAAGTAATTAGTTAATTTAAGCAATGGACCCCTCAGTTCATTCTGCATAACCAGAGACAGTGGAGTTATCCTGCTTGTGGAGCTTTGTTTGCATTGCCTTTATGTTCATGGCATGCATGCCACTACTTAGCCACAGCTCCGACATTCTCTGCTTTATAACTGTGGCTCATCCTCTGGCTCCAATAAATATGACTGAATATCCAAGAATGAAAATATGAGCCATAATCCCTCTTTGTAATCCAAGATCCTACAAATAATGGCACTTTACTCGAAAAACTAAAAGGGAAAACCTTACTCAAAGACATACAGATAGGATTGAAAAATGGGGAAACTAACCTTTAACATTAACCCTTTCATGTACAGTTTTTAATCTGAATGATATCACTTTCATATCTGTCCCCATTAAGGAAACACATGAAATCAACAGGTAAGTTGGCTATCTTGACACTAATACTGGAAGCAAGAAGAAACAGCTAGCTTGGAGAAGTCCAAAAGAAATGTGACTATTCCAATCCACTCAATCCACTCCATTCTCTACATGTCTCAAGAAACTACGCTCCAGGTATCTGCTGTGATGTATGGGTCCAATGTAAACATGCACACTCATAATAAATACCATTATAGGTGTGTATTTTCTTCATTCTACGAACTGTGCCTGTGCCATCATCCATTCTGACCCAAATCACCAGTCTGTCACTCGAGTGTCCAGTCATCTTGTAGAAGAACTGCAGACATTGAAGCTTTCTTTTGGGGTACAGGGTTCGGGATTCCAGCAAAGCGGACTCCTGAGGCTTTCCAGACATGGTGCTGAAGTACATGAAGAAACCAGCATCTAGAAAGTCGGACAAAATAAGACAAAATGTCACAACACTATAGTCCACTTAGTTTTTGTCTGAACTGAGAATAAGTACTTGTTCTAATTTAAAAAAGACACAAAATTCGACTCAGACCTCTGCATCTTCCCAGGAGTGTGTGATCCTCTGACCCCGCAATGCTCTTGGTACGGACCCAGTCAGCATCCCTAGGGGAGGCATGGATCATACCGCAAATGCTGGCGAACTCAAAAGCACACTGGTCCAGCAGTGTGAGAGGCCCAGCTGGAGAGATGTGGATGAGGATTCATCGAGTTATGTAAATTCTTAACCCATTTTGTCACCATAACTCTTTAAATGGTATACTTTCTCAATGTCATTCTGCCCATTGTTCACTTTTATCGCGATAAGATGAAAAGATTTAGATATCAACTTTGGTAATCACTCTTGCAATATATACATACAACAGTTGTACATCCGGTTGAGCCTGAGGGTGTCCATCTGACTGAAGTCAAGGTACTGGCCAATAATGTTGTAGAACTCTGGGATTTTTGTGGTGATAGTGGGGATAGATTCGTTCTTATTAAATGAGAAGGGCCTATAATGCATGATGGACTCATAGTCGTATGCTGTGTTTTGATCAGTGATGAAGTCATCGTTGTATTTGTTGAAGTTGTGTTGTAATCCTGTGAGGAAATATCATGTTTAGTCTTTTCTGCTACATTAAATAGTCAAAGAGACAATAGATTTCATAATTTCTGGGTTTACCATAACATTCACATCATTAACATCTCAACATTCTGAACAATAAAATATTGGAATTAAAGTCAAACGATTAAAAGTAAAAAAAATAGTATGGACCAAGGACTGAACACATACCTGGTGTAACCTGATCCAGCCAGATGTCAACATAGTCATCCCTGTCTGTACGGGACTGTTCATGGTAAAATCCTAGAGCGTGGAGGAGTTCATGTTCAATCACTGCTTTGTGGTCACAGCCTGACCCCAACGACAAAATCTGACCATTTTGCTGGTCACCGACGCTGGAGAAACACCTATGAGAGTAAAAACAGACACACATGGAGGAGGTTATTTTCAGACTCAAACCAATCTATCTTTTAGTTCTAGGAGCCTGAGTGACACTCGTTTTTTTTCCCATCTTACCAAAAGTATATTGTCATTACATTCTTCCTCATTTTCCTATGCACCAGGCTATCTGTTATAAATCTCAAGTTTTAAAGAGATAAGATCCAGCTGTTTTTGAATGCTACCAGTAAAAATACTGGATTTGCAGTTAGTAAATAAGGGTGAGGAAAAAAAATAGTCAGTTCCAAAAATAACGATAAAAAACATACCAATCAGAAAATGTAACCAAACTCTATGAGAAAATTAGATACTAGAGTTGAGTCGATAAGGAGGGGAAATTACTGCTCATTTATACCTTCCTGTTATACTGTCGATAATTTTGAAAACAACAGTAGCTTTTGTTAGCAGAATATAATATTCCTTCTCTTACAAATAAAATGAGTAATTTGGCATAGCCATAACAAAGGGCATTTGCTGACAACTGCACTTGGCATGGTATGGCTTATTGTGGCCAAGTTGAGCTAATGCTCAAAAATCTATGTGACTTTTTTACTCCAGTATCTCCACTTAAAAAACTGTTATCTTTGCATACATAAATGTAGACCCGAATACGTTGAATATCTCACATGCAAAGAGTTGGCAGGAATTATGAAGTTCATCATTCTGTTTTTCTCAAATCTGTGAAACTAATCACAACTCACTCACTTCAACTCACTTACCATCAATCTATCCATCTACCCATTCAGCCATTCATCCATCATCCATCCATCATCCATCTATCATCCATCCATCATTGATCTACCATCCATCATTCATCTATCATCCATCCATCATTGATCTACCATCCATCATTCATTTATCATCCATCCATCATTCATCTATCATCCATCCATCATTGATCTACCATCCATCATTCATCTATCATCCATCCATCATCCATATACCCATCCATCTAGTCCAGCTGTTCATCCATCCAGCCATCTGTCCATATTTTGTATTTTTGATTCTTTTCAGCAGACACACATCCATAGGGTCATTTTAATTTCCAGAAATACTCTAACTCTGTAAACTGCTATCAGCAGCTATCAACAACAGAGTATGCTGAACAAGTAAACTCATGTTATAACTGAAGTTATACCCTCCTCTCTTCTCAAACTTGATGAATGTCTTCTCTCCTTCATAAGGTTTGAAGTCAATACAAGACTTCAGTCGGTACATTTCAAAAGCTTGGTGGACACATCCCTTAGCATTGAGATCTGAGGAATGAAAGAAAAAATCTCAAAATATAATTTGTTTTCATTCAGGTTGTACAAAGTCTTTGATAACATCCTTACATGATGTTTAACAAGTGTCTTAGTTTTTCCAAAGATCTACAGGTAGTTTTATATCTGCACTGAATATTGGCCAAACTTACCCAGATCATCACCCAGTATGTATGGGATTGGAAATGTCCATCTGTATGATTTGTCAATCAGGGCATTCCGTCCTTCCTGCAACACAAAAGAGGGGTTTCAAATAACTTTTTAATCACCATAAACTGTGACCTGTAACCCCCTCCAAGCTAATAAAAACATGCACTATAACAGCTATCTTATAAGATAAGTACAGCCCTGCCCCTGCCGTGACTCAAGATCACAACAACCTGAGAATCTAACACTCAAATATGTGCCACGATTGAGCAATAAATAAGTTCTCCAAGGTAAAAGAAAAAACACTTACAGGAATTAAAATATCCCCTTCAAACAAGTTGGTATCCAAACCTGCAGCACAGGTACCAACAATAGAAAAAAGAAGATTTTTTTCAAAAATGTAATTCACTGTTTTAATGCGGACGTTATTGAGCAAGACCAGTTGAAACGTTATAGCTCACCCAGGTTTAGCATGGGGTTCTCATCCTCCCCATTCTCATACACCTCTGTAAAACAAATACAGAAACATCTCTGAGACCGTTCACAGCCTTAATAATACTATTAATACTAGAAATATTAGTCGCACATACCATGTACCCTGGGGGAAAGAGGTATCTGAATGAGACAAACCAGAGTAAGTTTCCATGCAGTAGTTATTGTATCACACAGTGCATATTATTAAATAATTAATAAATGAGTACTTACAGCATATGAGGTGGTTATAGCCACCAGTGCAAACAAGAGGAGTACTCTCTTCATCATCAGGCTGAGTGTCACCAGCTGTTGCTGCTTTGTTTATGTGGACAAGAGACGACCTTTAAGCTGATAAAGTTTATGCTGGTTATAACTGAAGGACTTTGCCTCCATATTGTTACTTATTAGTTAGCTGATTTATGAAGTGCTTGTGCATGTGCATGTGTAAAAGAGAACTGCATTCTCTACACTATTGGCCCTCAACAATTTATTTGGTCTCATTGCATCCCAAAGTGAGAAATTCAGACATTAAAGTGTAACTTATTTTGAGCCTTTTAAAGGACATGGTAGTATAGCCTACTACTATAGTAGCCTATATTAAATATGGTAGACCAATACCTGTGAAAGCTTATTGTCTGTTTACGTTAGTAGTCTGTCAGTTGACTGGTTCATTAATGATTTCAAATGTTTTTTCTTCTTCTTTTCTTCTTTTTCTTTTTCTTTGATTTCTGGCCCTCATTGAATGTTTTTGTCCTTGCTCCAGGTTTACTGTTTTTCATTTGCCTGATGTATACTTTTGGAAAGACTTTTGGTGGGTCAACAACATCATCACACAAGTTGTCATGTGTCCTTTCAAATCATCATCGAAAAATGGAGACAGCCAAAAGCAGCGGCAGCACTTGAAGAGGAGGTTGAGGCAACGGCAAAAGGGGCGGACCACCGTCATTAGCAGTGTCACTAAAGTGTTTTGTTGATGAGTCAGGCAAGGGAGACTACAAACAGTTCAGCAGTTGCCACTACTACTGTCTGTTTACGTGTCCCAATCAATCCTACACCTCTTCTAGTCTTTACCTTAACTGGATCACATACAGAGTCTCGCTACGCCCTCTAGTGGACTAACTGTGTAATTACATTCACAGTATGCAGGACGAACCTGTGACAAGCATAGCTTACTGTATTTGTAAAAACAACAGAAAGCACTGGTCACACCCAGCTAAAGAGGAAGTGGTACTGTTAAGCATCTGAACAGACTATCAAAGACTGAAAAGACGCTCTTGACAAGCAGTAAGAGTTGTTGTTGAAGTTACAGCTTTAGTTGTTGTTTTGGAAGTCAATATGTTTTTTAAAAAGTGTTCAGATAATAAATATCCCACCTTGAACTTGCAGTTTGTTCTTGAGTAAATGGACTGCTAATCCATTCTGCTCTGCACTCGTCTTCTCCTTATATATCTGTCATCATTCACCTTTAATATCAGGATACTGTAACAGCTCCATAATGTTGTTTCTGTCTGCAGTGTACTTATTTTTTATTTATTTTTTTTTTACTGATTTTTATTGAAGGGGTTTTTAATTTAAAACAGAAACAGGCAATGGGAAAAAAAATACAAGGAAAAACTCTAAACATAAATTACTCAGAAGTTATATGTTCCCAAGCCTGCCTGCAAGTTGGGTTGGTCTGGTGTACCCACACTCACACATACATGCATACACATACTCAAGTGCACATATATATACATACATACATACACATGTGTCGTCCATATACATAAATTATTATTATCATATTCCCCTTTTCTTTTTTTCTTCTTCTATTTTTCCCCCATTTATGACTCAAGGACAGTTGTTCAATCGCAGCTCAGAGTCAGTAATGAGTCATATCATAAAAGAGAGAAAAGGGCCCCAGATTATGTCATATTAGAGCACAGCGTCTATGTTGCTGTATATGACTCTTTCCAATTTCTCTATTTTTCCAAGTGCATTATACTAGTCTTGAGTGGTGGGAGCTGAAGCGTCTTTCCATCTACAGTGTATTAGCTTTTTAGTGACTGCAAAAGCTGTTTTCAGCCACTTGCTGTTAGTTTGAAATTTGAGTCTGGAAACACCAAGCAGGCAAACTGCAGGGACTGGGTCTATTTGCTTACTTATTATTTCACTTACTTTTTGACATACCTCAAACCAGAAGCTCTTCATTTTTATACAATCCCAGACCATGTGCAGGTAGGTCCCTGTCTCAGATGAACATTTCCAGCAGGTGCCTGACTGTCTGAGGCCAACTCTGTGTAGCTTACTAGGGGTGTCTGCAGTGTACTTAATAAAAGAGTGTGGGTTTTGGCTTAATAATCATGTTTATTTGTCACGTGTAATTGAATAAGGTACAACAACAATACAAGGTACAATAATAATTAGATGCAGTGAAAACGTTTACAGATGTTACATCACGATCTTACCTCATGCTTTACTTTTAACTGTCATTGAAATCTTTTAGTTTGTCAGATGGATTTTTTTCTTAGAAAAGTTATAAACTAATACTCTACAGATTGACCCACATACATATTGTCTAATTCACACATTGTACACTTCCTCCTGCATAAACTCAATTAAAACTTTCCTTCCTTCAGTCTTATTCCACATCTGCTTGATAGCTTCTGTTGTGGTGTCCTTCATTTGTTTTCTCATTCTGGGAATCAGCAGGGCATCCTGAATCTCCTGTGGCACCATAATGACTCCCGTCCCATCCATGAGAGACATGGAGGATCTCTGCATCTTCTTCCATGGGATTGTCCGGGGTCTGGCTTTTTTGAGTCTGAGAGAAATGCAGAGAGCACAAAATGAATAACAACCCATAGATCTTAACACTGCGCTGTAAACAAATTTGGCAATTATGTGTTCATGCCCATCCAAGAGTTCTCTGTATAAATATGTTTTGAACAGTATGCTTGTCATGTCTTGGCCTTTACGTTACCTTGTGGTTATGATCATGATGATCTATGGCGTACTGGTATTTGGCTGCATTCAGTCCTAGGGCGGCAGCTAGCCTTTCTCCTAGGAAGTCACAAGCTCATTTGGGAAAACAACAATGTTACTCAGTGAGGCGCTCTTCATAACTAAAATGATATGCAGTATTATTCTGTACCCATTTAATTGGTTTTCTCATTACGTACTCATTAGTGAAATCCTCCCAACAAGAATGGCCACGTTCTTGAATGAAAATCTAGCCTGGTGAAAAAGAGTTTGAAATAAACATGACTGCAACTTATCACAGGATCAGAGAGCTGTCACCCTGAAGAAACTCTAAAACACTAACAAGACTGTCAGGAACAGTTCAAATTTAATAAGCACAGAAAAATACTGTGCATGTAAATCATGCTATCTATTTATTCTAATTGATTTGATAAAATTCACTCTTTTTCATGTTTAATGTATTACTTCACAGAGGCCCAGTCCACAGCCTCTATATCAGAATCAGAAATACTTTAGTAATTTAATAATTAAAAAAAGGGGGAATACACAGTCATTACAGTTGCTCTTACACAAAATATAGGCGTCGAAATATTAAAAAAAAGAAAATAGGAAGGCTAGTGTTAATAAGATATAAAGCAATACGTTTTAAGATGTTTTAAGAGGTAATGTAAAACAGGAAACAGATTCCTGGTAGGTGTCGGGTGCCCACACAGTAGGCCTACTTGGTGATTAAAACTGATTCTGATCATAATTTAGATGTAAATATCCAGAAAGACATTGCTCATTATTACAGTGTCCCACCCTTTCTGTAGGTTCTTTAAACGGACATCCTTCTGGTGCCTGCTCCTCCTCCTCTTCCTCCTCGCTGTCTTCCTCCTCTATAGTTTCACCACTAGAGAAGTGGATAATCCTTTTCTGAGGACATGACAGAGAGTAGTGATGTCTGAAGGCATGCTGACTGGGTTTTTTTTTTTACATGCATTTCTGTTTGAATGCTCTCTCATTGATCTTACACGTTTTCTTCAAGGCTACACAAGTTGTCGAAAGTAAAGTTTACTACTGTTCCTGAACACAACGTAAGCTAACGTTACAACATTAACACACTTACTTCCTGGTTGCTGGCGTTCATTCTCCAAACTCAAAGTCTTTGTTTAAATCACTCAAACTCGCCGCCGTACTGTTTGGGTGAGAAATGTTTTGAAGTATGAGACAGTGGAAAGAGTCGTGCAAAACAAGAAGTGACAGAGAGACACTGTGAGAGTCTGAAGGGGCTGGACTTAAAGTTCGTCAACGTACACACTTAACACACCTGCTGCAGGTCTATGAAGTAGGATGTGTCCAAGCAGTCAAAACTGTCATATCCTCATTCCTCAGGACCTCCAGATGGCATAGACCTGTTTCCACAGGGTAATAAGTACGAGCTATGACCATTCACATTTATTTGTAACATTTTGGAGGATTACTGCCTACTGTGTCCAGTGGCGTAGCCAGACTTTAATAACTGGGGTGGCAGAACCGAGCCTGACTTCAGCAGGGGTCGCCGGAAGTGTTAGGAACGCATACATTAACATGAATGAAAAGCATCTATTTCCCCTTTTTATCTCCACAATAAAGAGGCAACATTAGCATTAGTTATTCTAACCTGGTGGTGTAGCTTCAGCACCCTCCAACAACACCTCAACGAAAATCGCGACCCAAATTTCAGATTTGTTTTCAACCAATCAGATGAAACATCGTGCCATTTTATTACAAAGCATGTGACAGAACAGAGAAATTGAACTAAACAAATATTTAAAAGGTGCTTCAGATCATTTTTTTTACACACATTTCAGCTTCCCATGTTTAAAGTCACATTTAAAATACTTTCCAATAAATTGGGCTACAATGAAATGCAAAGGAAGCAGCCCAAAAAAATAGAGCTGATCAAAAGTCCCGCCTCTGACAAGTAAAACAGTCAATCATAGTTCAGAATTTACGGGTGGCCAATCAGATTCCCTCCCTGGTTGCTCCCCTGACTGTGTCTTTGAAATATGTAACCTAAGAATGGAGTTTTATAGGTTACATAATAGTGCATGGCAAACATTGTACCTGGTGGATATGATTACTTGAGTGAAATTAAGTTACAGGATTGTACGCTGTGCTGTGCTGACACACTTTTAGTTAACTGTTTTCTAGGAGAGGATGAAGGACAAGCATTGGTCTATTTTCTGCGATGCTTTTCCAGTCATGAACTTCATGATCCTTTGTAATCCTACCGAATCACTCTGAGATCCCCGCACATTAGCACGTTCACTTGTTTTACACTTATATTTAGTATGAAACTTGTCTGTTTTTCATCACAGTAAGCTACGTTTAATACATATCCAGTGGTGTACATGAGTGAGAAGTATGTAATAGGTTTATGCAAGTGTTCAGCAACTTTATTTTATTGAGCAGGCCGACTATTTACAAAATGGGCAACATCTGTGAAGCGACTGGAGCAGCTCTTCAGCAGCAGAACATTCAATCTCAGACCCCACTGTTCACATATTTCAATCCATAGAATTTGATTATGCTCATTCCCCATTAACTGTGTTCAAGGAAAGGGATAACACTTCATGTTAATACATTACGTACCAGCAAAACCTCCAATGAATCAGTGGGTTATACAGGATATATCCACTGAAACGCCAAATCAAATCAACACCAAACTTGACTTGAGTTACACAGGATTGTATACTATTGTCTTGTGTTTAGTGTTCAACTACAAATGTGAAGAATGATTAAAATAAATTTAAGAAGTACTATCAGATATATATCTCTAAAATAAACAAAAAGAATGATTCAGCCTTATAAACGTGTACGTTTTTCTTAAATGAAGAGTATAATTAGAAAAACAATAGCTACATCATATCATGTACAAAAAGAGATACAGTTTAAACTCATGTTTCCTAAATCAAATGCTGACTGTGAACAAACTAAATGCACCAGCAATGGAGGAATGCAGTATTAGTGCTTTGTCTGTTCACTGTTGATCAGTTTACAACAGGCATGTGCATCCAGTGAGCAAGTTCTTATCAAATCATCATCTTACAGTATTCAGCACGAGGCTGACAAAGGAAAATCAACTTCCAACATCTTTTTAATTCTGAATGTGTGCGTCAGTATTTGATGAGGCCCAAAGAAATTCCACATAAATATCCCTTATTTATATTTCAAGAGGATGCATGTTTTGAAGATCGATATTTCAGGGTTAATGTTTTAATTAATATTTCATGGACAGATTGTCATTGTTTAAGTCATTTTATAATGACTTCAGAGCACTTAAAGGAAGAATGTGCTGCTTTTTGATCCAATAGATGTCGCCCTTGAGCACCAGCATGAAACTAAAACAAAGTGCTGTTTGGCCACAGCTCAGCCATACTGAAGCCCATCGACACACCTCCAACCTCCCTCACCTCAGTGTGCACAGGAGAGAACTGTCCTTGGCTCGAGCTGCAATTGCCTGTGTCCTGCATTGTGCTGTTAGCGGGCTAATGTTAGCACACTTTAGTTAGCTCGTAGCTGCAGACTGAATGTAAATCTACACAGAATGACCGTGATCTAAAACGCTTATGTGACATCAAAGGCTTTGTTGTTCTTCTTTTCTGTAGTCCTTGACTTAAACAGCTTTTATAAGCAAGAGGAGGAGGCGTCCATGTAAACCCGATGCAAACATGGCTCCAAAAGCAACAACACAGCCAGCGGGACTCGCCCACACTCACTCATTGACAGTAATGACTCAGAGAGATATTTACATAGCAGGCTATATAACTGAGTTCTGTGGTATATATATATACAAGTAAAATGTTGCACATTCTTCCTTTAACTGCAAAATGTAATAAAATAACAGACGCTTCTTTAAGGGGCCACAGTGAACAGGATTGCAATGCCGACTTGTGTACTATTAATAGATCTACACTCCATATAATGTCTCCTTAAAAAGTCCTTATTTGAAGTCATTACTTTAAGCTAACTTGTAATTACTTACAATAACCTTAAAGAACGTTCCATCCTATAAATGTTATAAGTTTACTTTATGAAAAGCTCTTTGGAGGCTTTTACTGGTTTTGGCATAGATGCAAAGATTATTGTTGTAATACCCAAATACAATACACATATTTCAGCATAAATGTAAAACAGCATGGATTTATATTACAAAAAAGACTGTTTTTTCCTATGGAGCTTTACATGAACATAACAAAATATGGATGTCATCATTACAAGAGACGATGCTGAAGCATGAGGCTTAAAAGTGTGGAAGGTTTAGGAGACCACACAGCCTGTGTCCTTCTGAGGCTTCAAATCAGGCTCCTTCACTGGTTTCACCTCCTCCTCCTTTGGTTTGGCCTGAAGTCACATAAACAATAACTCAAGTGTTCATCAGGTCATTGTTTATACAGTAATCTGGACAGTTTTAGGAAATAACTTTTAGTACCTTGTCATTTTTGGCTCCCTTAGTCAGGTCAAAGGTGGCGTAGACCTCAGGAGTGCACTGCTCGCTGAGGGGCGGGAGCTCAAAGAGGATCGGCTCGGCCAGGCCATAACTCGCCTTCAGCTCCAGCTGGGGGGCCTCAGCGGGGACCTTGTGGAAGTATCTGAAGATAAATGTCGAAGAGTAGATGTTTAAGTTTTAGCGACACCACAGACGCTATGTGATGCAGCTAAATCAAAACAAAGATAATCGCAAACAAATATGGTAGAAATGAGAAAGACTAGAAATGCACCAATGACTTTTGTCTAAAGATAAGAGTCCTAAATAAAATATCGGCTTATTCAAAAATGAAGCTGCTCAACCATCACTCATGGGCCTGTCCTCTGCCTGTATTTGAATGTTTTTATTGACTCAACTCACCTGCTTGCTGTCATTGTCTGGGGGAAACACAACCAGTCCCCACCCAGAAACATCCCGACTCAACCAAAACAAATCGAAACATCAAAATCCGGGCAGAGGACAGGATCTCTGCAGACACAGTCACCACAACATGTATGGGGCCCCGAAGTGATGATTGAGTGGCATTACCTTTGTATAAATCTATTTTTGAATTTTGTAGGACAAAGCTACTGACTCTATCTTTAATCCGTAAACTCACAGCTTCAAAACGCTGCAGCCGTTCTCAGCCATTGTTCAACCATTGCTGTATGTCTGTATGGAATGTTCTCTCACATCTGAACTTGTGTAAACTCATAAATGAGTCCACTTAAGAATGACAGTGTAGAATACAGATGTTTCAACTTCAGAAGAGCAATGTATGTTCAGAATCTGAGTGTCCATGCGTGCATGTCTTGTGTGTATGTGTAACTCCCAAACTGACTCACATAAAGCCATTTTCTCTCTGGCACTTCTCCAGAGTGTTTCTAATGAGGCCGCCTAGTTTGAGAAAGAACAGCTGCTCCGATGGTTTAGCAGTGGTGCCGGGGCCTTTGGTCTGACGATACTCTTTGCAAAGAGCCTCAGCACGGGAGTAACCTAAACACAGAAGTCTTAATGTTAATATGAAAAGAAATCCAGCCTATTAAAATAAATAATTAAAGCTCCAGAATGTAAGATATCTACTGAATTAAATTCTAAAATCACCTTACTGTATCATCAGACATTAAGGAAACATGCTATGTTTAGATTCTGATCTTGAATGGTCTGCTTTTGTTTGGACAAGAGAAGGTAGGCGGTTTTACGGCACCCTCACACGGTTGTTTTGGACGCCCCTCGGTTTGCCAAACAAACAGCAAACCAACAGGTGTTGCAGCGATGGTTCAGATAGAACTGTTTCTACCCGACCTAAAGGCCTCTGCATTTTTAAAATAAGCTCAAAATGTGGTAAAATTTCGGTAAATATTGGAGTTGCTTTTTTTTTTTTTTAAATGGAGAGAGGTTAGAACCCAGAAAGTTTTCAAAACCGATGCAGAGCTGGCTAAACACTGAAGCTTCAGTGTACGCGACATGGCAACCTGCGTGCACATCAACTCTAGGGAGGAGGGGACGGTGGAGACAGCTCTATTTAATATTGGATATATGGACTGCAGTACCCATTTTAAACACTAGGTGTCAGAGTTAACACGCTCCTTTACATGGGTTTGAAATGTACTGCATTGGCCAAATGCCCTGAATGACTGTGACAGTGACACTCTTTCTTCTTCACCAATTGATGTCAAGCTAAATATTCCACTAGTGTCCCAGTCTTGGGTTCAAGTGGAGTAGAAGATTAAAATATGACATTTTAAATTTGTCTCAAGGCTATCTTGAATAGTTTGGGGATTAAAGTGACTAAACTCTATATAAGAGGAGAACACTGAAAATATGACACTAGATTAAAAACACATACAAATACATCAACCAGGTTTTTGATTGAAAAACATTTCTGGTGCAATAGAAAATGAAATAAATAAAATGTGTTAAAACTCAAGATGAAGAAGAAAAACATACACTTTTCTGCCTCCTGGAGAGACCGTATCGCTTCTCCACACTTGTCACTCGCCAGCAGTGTCTGTCCATGGTAGCAGTAAGCCTAGAAGGAGAATTACAAAAATGAATGAGCTTAACAAGGAGCTTTATTAGTAATTTTTTATCCATCTTTGTGTCCTTTTCATCAATGAGAGTAATGTGAACTGATTAAAGAGATGCAGAAACTTACATAGGCCATGTAAAAGTGCTGCTTCAGCTGAAGATACTTCCTCCATTTGCTGCTGCACTCAGGCTCCAAGGTGTTCAGTGTGTGATCTGCAGACAGACATACTGCATCGTCACACTTTTCTCATCTATTTATTGATAAGAAGTCTTTGGTAGACAGTAGTAGGCTCTGTTTTGAGGGGCAGACAGGCAAGCTAAGCCCTGTACTCAGTACAAGTTATCACTGTATTTAAATGTTTTCATCGCTGTAACTCACAGTCAGACAGCTCATTTATGTATTCAGCACAGTCTTTCTTAATGGATGGGTAAAGATGTTCCCGTAAGTATCCCATTGGCTTCTTCCGCATTGGGATTACATAATCATCTATATAAAAAATGTGTGCTGCGTGTGCCAAGTGTTTGCAGGGGGTTGTTGATGTTTAAAGCCGTCTGAGGAAACTGGAATCTAAATGGTGACTAGAGAGGTCATTTTTGAAGAGAAGTGTAAAGAGAAGTGAAGTTTGATGTCAGTCTGACTATACTAAAGAAATGTCAACCCAAACAGCTGCTCTGTCAAATATAGTGGAGTTAAATGCAATATAATGTTCATATTAAAGATCACTGAAGATCTACAGTGAAGGGCTCTCTGACAGCAAGGTAACGCCTGATAATACTTTACAGAAAGCGTACAAACACTTAAACTGATATTTCAGTCATTCAGTGTATGCTAAATTATGTACTGCTGCTTCCACTACTACATTATTTAACTCACCAACCAGCCACCTCCATATCCTCCATCTACATTTTTTATTTTACATACTTTACACTCTGTTGCTTCTCACACATATAGGCCTGAATTACATACATGTATTTATTAACAGGGAGCGCACCAAAGCTAGTGGGGGTTTGGTGCTTTGGTAAAGGGCACCTCAGCAATGCTAAGGAAGTGACCAACTTCCATACTCTAACCATACTGTAAAGTCCGCACTGACTTCCATACTGTAGCGTCCACACCTGGACTTGAACCGGCAACCCTTCGGTTCCCAACCCAAGTCCCTACAGACTATCGACTGCCACCCCAAATAATATAATGACTTTTGATAAGTACTTCACTTAAAAATGTCTTTGAAAACCTATGAAATAAATCTGTCAATAAAGTGAAAATGATGGTCATATGAATAAAATGTACACACATGGAAAGCAGCACTAGTTTGAAGCCATCCAGGCACAATGAGGATACACAGAGACCTTCAGACTTTGGGGCTCAAAGGGCTGCCACATCCTGAAACCCTTTTGGTATAATAATTTCTCCTGGCCTGCTTGAAGTATAACACAATATTTGATACAAACCTACCTTTATGTTGAGAATGAAAACAACTACTCAAACTGAATGAGCTCTATAGTTCTTTAGATACTTCAAAACAAGGTGTGATAAAACACTGACCAGCTTTTTGATAGAAGTTTGCCGTCTCAAAGGACAGCGCTGCGATGAGGGTGGCATTGTGCTTCAGTTCGATAGCTCTCGCAATTGTCACTGAATAAAAGAAAACAGAGAGAGGTGCGATGCAAATGGTTGCAAATGAATAACATTTGGTTGTGTGAATAGTAACGGACAGTATGTGCTGTCACTGCACTCTTAACCCGGTCAATAAAGACATTGCTTGACTTTTTTTAAAGGTACAGGTCCTCATCAGTTATTCTGTGTGTTTTCGGATATCAAGAAAGATTCAACATTAAAAATAACAATTCAACTTAAGAGGCTTTTTTTATTCTGTTAGTTCATACTGCAATGTAACTTCTTCTATATGAACATAACTGAAGTATTTATTTCACATGACAGGGATAATAACAGCTTGTTAAGAATAAGGACATTTAAAGAACTTTATTTTGGTGCATAGTTCAGGCCTAGAGCTTCTTTACCTTCTTGTGCCTCTGCTTGGCACTGGATGATATATGTGTCAATCACTCTGGTTTCCAAGTCCCGACCCTTTTCAGCGGGGGTGATGAGACGAGGGATGCTGACCTCCTATAGTCAAAATGATAACATTTTGTATGGATTATTATTTAAATAATACATTTGTCCCTTTGTGTTTGAGATATTATATCATCTGAATGAAGACTGTGTGCTGCAGTGAAGTAAGGGAAGGATCGTAAGAATAATCCCTTCGTTACACTGAGTTTATTTTATGTTAGGGCTGTTAATAAAATTAATTGTTTTTTAAATGCTTTAATCCAATCGTTAATCGCGCTTAATCTTATTTTTTATCCCGTTTGAAAGTCAATTGTTTTGCTTTTTTATGTTATTATTTTGTATTTTTGAAGTGACTCAAGCTTAGGGTACTTTACCTCCTGTTTGGATACAACCCTGCTTTTATTTTGAAAGAAAATAAAGGATTTACGAAGTTTACAACATTAACTTAACCCCGGAAAAAGGGACTTGATACGGATCCAAGAGTCGAAAACACCAATGAAAAAAACAGGACACTAAAAGAGTGAAATGTTGTGATGTCCAAGTGGTTTTTGACTCATCAAATTAGCTTCTCCTTTTTTTAAAGGAAAATGAGCCGCTTAGAGGAACAGATGTGTCGTTGTTTCCCTCCAGGCAGTTGGAGTGGATCACCAGCTCAGTCTTAAAAGACGAGTCCCATCCTCTTCATTGTGAGTTTCAGCTCCTTCCCTCTGGACGAAGGCTTTCAGTTCCAAAGTGCTGAACAAAGCGCTATAGGAACAGCTTTGTCCCAGCAGCCATATTGGAGAGGATCAAGTCATAGGGTATCTGTGGGAATCATGTTTTCCCTCTTTGCTGCTTGATGTTGTCGTTGTAATTTAATGATGGCCTTGCATGGAGGCACAGAGATAGCAGGCTCGGAAGCTGTTGTCATGCTTCTTAGTGGTTCTTTATTCATTTACTATTCATGTTGGTGTTCTCAGCTCTGTAACTTTTAAAGATCAACTTGTTTTATTAATTCTACGATTGGAACCTGTGCACTTTATGCACCTCCGCACCTTTTGCCCATGTACCGTTCATTTGCACTTTGTATGTTTTATGTATTGTCTGTGTTGTATTAAGTGACTCTCCCTGAAACCTAATTTGCCTACGGGTACAAATAAAGTAACCTGAACCTAAACTTGATCACTACGCTGCTGTCTGTGTGGCGGGTTAACGACGGTGCGCCTAAGGGGACACACAACATGCAATTTAAAATATGAATGCATTCATTTCAAACCTTAATTGCATCGCAATTAACACCTTAACGCTGGCAGCGCTGGTTTGTATAGATAACATAGAAATATAACAATCAGGATATTGTAGTTTGATACTACGATGAGCTGTGATCACAGTCATCCAAGTCTAGCAGCACTATAATAACTTAAAGAAAGGTGGTATGTGTGCTGCTCACCTTGAGGTATTTGAATATACCCGCAGCAGCTTTAAGGCTCCGGTGAACATCTTTTGCTTCAGTTTCGGAAACGCTATTGAACAGGAAAACATGACAGGGAAAAATATTTGATTAAGTATCAAAGCATTGGGCTATAAGTGACTGTTTGCGCACAAATAAATTACAACAAGCCAAAAAACACTTACTTTTCCTTTCCTGCGAGTCTGGAGGCAAACTTTGTGTACCACACGGCTACATTGAAGGCCATGGAGACCAGTTCAAAGACTACATCCTGCTGAGCACTGTGGAAGGAGCATTGAGTTGTATTTACTGGTATAAGCTTGGTAAATGATAAATTCACTTTTTTTTTCTCGTCTTCTGACTACTCAAAGCACTTCTACACATCAGGTCACACCAACACATTCACACAGTGATGGCAGAGGCTGCTAAGTGAAGTGGCCATCAGTATTAACTAATCCCATTCATACACAGTTATACACCGCAGACAAGCAGCGGGAGAACCTTGGGGTTAAGTGTCTTGCACAAGGTCAAATCGGATTTGATATTTAGAGTTTAAAATCTTGACGATAACGTCATGAAAGAGTCTGGCAGAAAACGTGTGTGACTTTAATCATGACGGAGACGAGGGAGGACAGTGATAAGTGTAGTAATGGTGATGCGGCGGCGGGGGGCAACCTGTACTGTATACTCATAGTTACAATCTGACCTCCAGCTCTTACTGAAGAACACACAACCCATGTTGTCCATGTCTCCCCAGACATTTATTCACCCAAAACTTACATCTTACATTTTGTAAAATGTTTTTTTTACACTCTGCACAAAGCATTATATTTGTAAATTTACCCGCCTGCTTCATTGTTTACGTGAGGTCACGTGAGGTGGTACGTTCCTCCGTCGGGCACGATAATCTTAAGGATATCCTGTAGTCTGTGATGTGTCAAGATTTTCATATCTTGTAGTGTGAGCATGTTTTAGATTATGGAAGAGAATATGTTTTAGGATTCCCCTCATGTGTGAGACCTCATTTTGAAAGTCCTGCAGTGTGAGCCGGGCTTTACTTTAAAACTAAGAGGAGATATAGCTCAACAACAACAGCTGAATACTTGATGGGGACAATAGAAGCAGTAACTAAAGTGGTGCAGTATAAGTTACTAAATGCTTGTCTGAATAAAAATAAAAAAATCACCTGCATCATGAAGGTATTACAGGAACCTACGGGCCGCAAAGACAAGGGGAGGCACTCAGACACTGGGACCAACGGCTTGGGAAGCACGGTCACCTCGTGTTTTAAAACAACAGTCAATAGATTTTGGTCAGAAGTTCTGAGTGGCTGATTGGTGGGAAAGTAAGTACTGGGGTGTTAGACCATGTTGGGCTCTAAAAGTTAGCACAATGATTTTAGTTTGCGTGATGTGTGATCTCTTGTTATTTCCTGATAAAAGCTGAGCTGCTGCTGGGTTTTGGACAGTCCGGGTTAAAGGACAGCACTGATGTTAAATGTTTAGATTGCCACGCTTGTCAAGAGTAAGGATAAAAATTATAGTTGTAGGTTTTTTAAGATTGTAGTGTTCACATCTGTTCATAAATAATCATTCCATATTCATAAATACTTACAGAACAACAAATATGAATTACATGTTTTTTTAGAGGTGGTTAATGACCTTCTGGAAAGCACAGTTTACGTAAGCCCTCCTTTGCTCTATTACTGTTACCCAAACATTTGCCATGCAGCAGTGCAGTATTGGACTTTTATTGTTTTGTTTTTACCTTGGTGCGTTTCCTTGTAAGGTGTCAGTCCACTTGAAGTTCTGGATGAATCTCATCTTGTTCTCCTGTGTGGTTCCATCCAAAGGTAAGAGAAATCCTAATGTATCACAAACCATTATTTAAAACAAGAGTAGCAGCTGGTTAGGCACAGGTCAAGAAAAAGAAAAACACATTTTGATAAATTAAAATACAATATATGAAGTTAATGTTTCCATTTCAATGTCAAGGCTAACAAAGGCTACTTTGTAGAATTTGTGGAGACCATTCTCATCACATTACTGATCACGCCCTGTACATTCAAAAGTATTGTTTCCTGATGAAGATCAGTCACACCTCTTACTCACTGAGAATCTCTGGAGTGGAAAATTCAAACACAGGCAATTTCCTGTCTTTGTGTTGTAAAATTGTATTTTAGGACAACACAAGGACATAAAGTAACAATACAATTATGTTTGTTTAATGATTGGCTGAACATCATGGTTTGTAATGTATTGTTGCCCGTCTACCCAAACAAAACAGAGCATTTTAGATAGGTTAGCAAAATGTTGAAATGTAAAAAATACCTTGAAGGAGGGAGAAGTATGCATCCGTGGCATTTTTCATCATCTCATGGTTGCAAGTGACATCAGTAAACATCTCCAGCAGCCTCGCCCTTGTTGTCCTTAGGTCACTGAATGTGTCATACAAGAAAATATGTTGGTTGTCGCAGCGTTTGGAGTACTTTTATCCAACACAGAATTGACATCTCAATAGCAAAGAGTTTACTGTGATCATGACGTAGTTAAGAAACAAAGACAATACATGTCTATTGTGTCAAAGCCACAGAGCATTACGTTGTCAGTGTATTAACTGGAGATGTGACATACTTGCATATCTTATTTGCAGCGGGACTTCCTGCCACTCCATAAAAGTTGAAGGACACGGGCGCCGTAGCCTTCAATGGGTTTCTGTGAAACCAATGTGCCATCCTGTGGAAAAAGACACACCTGCAGAGGTTAAATAATACAGGACGACAAGGTTTCTTACTATCCTTTCAATAACACATGCAATGCTCCTATGTCTTAATTAGAGCTTTGTAATTCTTTAAATTAAGGTCACAATATTCACCATTAACAAGTTGCTTATTAGAATGCTTATTATTAATTATAAAGCGCTAATTAGTACCTTATTCTACATGACCATAGTCTATAATAGACTATTAACTAAGAGTTTACAAAATACTGCTCATTGATAGGTTAGGAAGATGTTAAATATGAACTTTAATTTATAATCAATAAGCATTAATTAGGAGGGTATTAATGACCCATTAGCTATAGATTATGGTCATGTAGAATACGGTACTAACAAGCGCTTAACGATGAGTAAAAATGAATTATGTAAAGGTGAATATTACGACCTTAAGTTAAAGATTATATTTATCTATCTTCTGTGTCATCTGCTAACGTCATGTTATCGACACTGTTCAGTCAACAAGCTAGTCATCATAGTTACGTTTTCACGTTGAGAAATGAATACATTTTGCGGCGTGACTTTGGTCTATCTTTGATATTTAATCATTATTTGTTGTTGACAAAAGGACATTACGTAAGCTACCAATAGCACTAGCAAACGGCTACCGTCGGCTAAAGCTACAAACGTAAATATGAGTTATTAAAGAAAAAGGAAAAACCGAGTCAGGATATGCGTAAGTATTTTAAACAACGTAACAAACGTGAATTATTACACGTATAGCTGTTTACCTGTCGTCTTGACGCTGTAGATACGGTTTAATAGTCCGTATGGAAAGTCTGACACCGAAGACGACTTACTTCCGGAAATAAACAAGGGAGTAGTGTCTGACCAATGAGAGCAGAGGGATCCGTCACATGACGTGTGTCCGGAAATCTTCTCAGATAACTCTCAGATCAGCAACAATTTTGTTAATAGTTTAGTTTGTAAAAAAAAAAGGCCTCCACATGCCAACATATGCCATTGAATGCATTAAACAGCTTTCAGTTCAAGCACTGATGGTCTAGATTTGATGAATTGAGAGAATATCTGGAATCTTCCTTACAAACAGCCTACCCTTTTACTGCTAAGTAAAGGAAGTTTCTTTCATGTGTAAACTTTATCAAGAAACGCTGCTGCATCTTTTCTGGCACTGTCCCTACACAGACAGATTTAGAAATATGTATGTTGTTGTGTTGTTGATAACATTGATTCTGAATTTTCTCGTTTTAAGAAAAAATGTACTGATTTTCACGATTATTGTCGTTTCCACAACAACAGTAGTGAAAAACAGAAATAACTGATAATTTGGTGATTATAACCATTAAAAAGAAAACTGAGCAAAGCATAAGAACCGTTTGCGGTAAAAAAAAAAAAAAAAGAAAGCTTCTAAAACGCTTGACTTGTGCTCCTTATTTAACATATTTGTTTGAAAACTCCCCCTGACTTTGCTCTTAACCTGTTTATATTGATGACGGTTTATTTACTGTTTCAATATAGAAACATTTTTAAAAAAATGAAAAAAGTTCAGGCACTGATCAATTATAAAATTGAAGTAGGCCTACGTGGTTTGACTCACTATTTGCCATGGAAACACTTTCAAATTCAGCAGAAAACATTTGGTAGGCCTTTATAGGTCAGAAAATTGAACTCATTGTCCTTCAGCTGATTCCTTGGTTATATTATAAAGGATGACTCAACTCTGCTTGGCTATAGAGAGATTTGACACTGTTGTGGGTAAAGACTACCGTTCTTCATGCTGCTACAAAAATCAATTGATACATCCACTTCTATTATCAATGTACACGTTGTCCCAATCAGGACAAAAATATGATATTAATACAACCTCCAAATGAATTACAGTTATGTAGCCTGTGTATGAAATAATGATATCGTTATTTACCAGCCATGATTAGACGTAAAAAAAAAAAACTCTTCCTTGAAATTTTCAACACTACGTGAACAATGAACAGCTATTTAAAGTTATTATTATAAGAATGAAATTATAATAGAAAACAACAAACATCAGACATTCAGTCATTTCAACAGGCACATCTTTGTGAATCTGGCCTTTATTACCATGCTTTTTAAGTTTGCATTGAATACAATAGAAAATAACTGAGTTCATCATCACATTCATTTTGTATTTCTCTTAACAGGAATCTCCTCAAGGCTCACTCAGTTGCCCCAACATTCTCTTGGGCCACTTTCACCAGCTGCAAGCATGAAGCCAGCGTCGTCAAAAACATTCAACCTGATTGAACAACTAAGATATTATAAAAAAAACATTCAGATCCTTAAAAATTAATGGATATGGACACGACAAAACATATCATGACTCTAAGTCCCCAGCACTGACACATGCAAAGAAGTACTTTGTCAACAACATTGACGTCAGCGCACCTTTAAAATATATATTTTAAACATGAAGGCACAATGGAAGAATAAAGGGGCACTTTTGGTCAACTTTAAGGCAACAATGGCATCAACAATTATTAAATTAATTTTAGCAAATAAGCATATTTCCCTTTTTTTCAACTCCAAAGGCTACTCGGTCGGTTCTCATTTGGTTGCAATAGAGAATTGCAGGACCACCAACAACTGACCCTGGTAATCACAGAACTAAGTTCCAAAGGGTCACTTTTTCTATCAGAGAGCAAATACGGTAACAACCCAAAGAAAAACAAAATCATCACATCGTGCCAGCTCTGTTTGCAAACTGGGATCTAAACAGTATTTAAACAACTTGTGTCAGTCGACCATGTCTCAAAAGGCTGCAGACAGAAACCAATGGTTACGTTCAATATCATAATTCCCATTTGTGTATTATATTATTTGGACATTAAAGATTACAGGTCATTTCAAATGTATTTACTGCATCCATATTCATGATTGTCATCACAGTTTTTTACATGTGCCTTTTAGTTTCAACACTTTTCAATCTACCCCAAAGCAAAATCAACATTTTGTAACTTAAGGTTTTATACAGGAAATTAAACCCATTATTTCAAAATAAAACATGTTAAACTCAATAATAAAACAACTTATTCTAAGTTATGGAAACATAGATATGTCCACTCCCATGAGCCCTACTTTAATTTATCTTCACTATGTAATCAATATAATCAAATGTTTGGCTTGAAAGATAATTACAAACCTGGTGACTTGTATTGAACAGCACTGCAAAGCTTTTTTGCATTATACACAGTAACATGTATCAACATCTTTGGCATCTCTGCAGCTTTGGTGATTAAAAACAAGTTGAAGTGTTTAGGTAACATGCTGGGATTTGTGTTGGTCATGTTCCTTGGAAGAACTCACTGAAACATAGTCATAGTGACTGCAGCCTCTGAAACCCTGAAAAGCAGTAAATAAATGGCACATCAGCAGAATACCCATTTTACCCATATTTCTCAAGGAAAAGTTTCAGCTCAAAGGCGGTTGGCGTAATTATTGCATAGACTATGGTCTCGTACGTCTCCCCATCCTCCGTTCTTCATGTGTGCCTTGTGCTCCACTGCATCCGCACCATCAAGAACAAGAGATTGAGGAAAGAGGCCATGCTTGGCCATTTGAAGGTTCTCGTCAACCCTCTGAGCGGCCCATTCTGGCCTGCAGTTTTCCTTCTGGTGGAGCCCACAGTCCCCTGTGTGAAGGACCCTGGAACCCTGTGCCACAAGCACTTTAAGGGGCTTTGGTATGCAGGTTCCAGAGAGGTGCTGTAGAGTCCAATCCCAGTTGTAGTCGTCATAAGTGCAGAATTCATTGTTACAGCCCATTAGTTTGTAGTAAACCTCCTTGGATATGGCCATGCCTATGTTATGCTTAGTGGACATCCACCCTGATGTTAACACCTTATTGGACAGTTTGGTGAAATCAGTGAGGCTATTGTGATTACCCAACGCTAACATGTCACAGTCTGGGCAGCTGTTCTTCCGGAACTCCACCATTGACTTGTAGAAATTGAAAAAGTCAGGCAAGATGTAGTTGTCCTCCTCTAAAAAAATCACAAAGCCATTGTACCCCTGCATCGCATGCACTCGCTCCCACACAAAGTGCAGTTTCCACCACCAGTGGTGTTTGGTTTGAGTGATGAAGGCCTCCCTGTAGTGTCCATAGGAGTCAGGGTGCTCAGCATTCAGACATCCTATTTTGAGAGCTTTGTCCTTGGGTATGTCTCGGGGGCAGTCTTGTGGATTCTGCCCAGGAAAATCACTGGGATGCAGCTGCGTGCTGAAGGGGAAATAAATTTGCTGTACTTTGCAGAAAGTAATCCCCTGCACAATGGCGTTTATCTGCTCCGTAAAATAGTCATGGCTGAAGATGACGAGGAAGTTGTGGACCTCAGCAGCTTTCTCCAGTGACTTGATGAGCAGACTGAGGTATTCAGGCCTGTTGTGGACCTGCACAACCAGCACCAGTTCAGGCTCTGCTGGAAACTTATCTGCATTGTAAACACTCTGCTTATAATTCCCAGTGTAAACAAACTGGGTCAACTCTGTCAGCGACTCCAAGTTGAACTTTACGTTCTCACTCGGATGCATCCCCTGCTTTGTCGGTAAGACATGACCTGGTCCACTATTCTCCGTGTCGGAATAAAACAATACACGTGTTGAAAAGAGCACAGCCCCAACGAAAGAGGAAACAGCCAACAGGACGAGCACATTCTTCTTGAGCAGCCGAAACCTCATTTTCTCTAAGTGGAAACAGACGTCCTCATTGTAAACTTCTCATCCATTAAGTTTCCTCCGTGAGGTGAAGTTCCCACTTTTGATGCAGGACGTCGCCTCACGCCGTCTTAAAAAAAAAAAGTAAAGATGACAGCCACTTCTGCCGTCGCGTGACTGTCGCTTCCGCCTGTTTCCGCCACCTGTAGAAAAAGCAGCATAAAGTATAAAGTGACATTTAAACACGCATTAACGACACGTCGTGTGTTTGTTCGGCGTGAAAATATGAAGCTAATCAGCGGCGCTTAGCTTCATTTGTCTTACCCCAAAAGTAGGTTTAGTGTCTGAACACGCTCACACCAGGAAGAGGATGATTGGACCATCATATATCTCGAGTACAACTTATTGACTGCTGACGTGTACAAAGCAGCCAACGGGGGAGAGAGCGAGCTGCTGCTCAACGAATCATTGTCTTTCATACTTTGTGTCATACGAGAGGGACAAAGCAGGCACACACTGAACTGTGAACTGTAGGAGTGTGTGTGTGAGTGTTTTTATACAAACAAACCGCAGCTTATCAGTGAAGTCTATGAAAAGTACCATAAGATGCCTGATAAATGCATATTTCCTATAGCTTTATTTTTGTCATGATGTAAAGAAAGGGTTTTATGTTAAGGTCCACATCCCCTCATTCTTAAACTTCAGAGTTAGTGTTTTGTGAAGTAGCTGTTAGGTCTTTTTAAGTTAAGGCTTTTTGTAAAGTGTCTTGAGATAGCAGTTGTTGTGAATTGGCGTTAGACAAATAAATATTGATTAAATGGAAAGAGCCTGCTGGACATTATTAAGTAGGCCTACTACAGTGCTGTGGCAAAGTCCCCCACCTGTTCAGGTTTGACAAGTTAAATAGTCTTTTTTTTATATGAGGGACTCTCAATGCCAACACAATAAAAGGGTGTGTGGGGTGGGAAATCCCTGAAACTAAAAGCCTGGAAAAACTGACACCCCACGGGAACACGTAGAATTGGAGATGCTGAGACTTATATCAGATACCAGGATATCATGATTGTTTCTAACATCAGTGCAAAAGTTGTATACGAGTCCAAAATGAGGCCATTTAAACCCCCTTATAAGTGTGACAAGATGAATTGGTTCATCTTCTAGTGAAATCATTTATTTAATGATGTCATAAAACCAAGATTGAAAAATGTCCTCTTTCAGCTAAATCACAATAAAAATGATGTCCCGACAAAAACAATGTTTTTGAATAAAATAACTTTTGTGTTTTAATTTATTGCAAACCATTGTTTTTCAGGCTCTAAACAATAAACATATGTTTTGTAAAAAATAAATAAATGATGTAATACATAAAACCTTCTTTTAATTATTTCATCACAAATCATCAATGTTTTCTCCCACTCCCATATTCATTCCTCAAATACACGTGTTCGTTATACATGTGTTGTTGTCTGTTTTTTAATGTGTGATTCCTAAATTGCCCCAGCATGATGAATGAAGGGCCAGCTCTGCCAGTTCTTGCTGAGGCCTTTGATAATAACACATAATGTAAATAGACTGGAGGTGTGATGTGAACCACCCTGTGAGAAAAACGATCACATTGTCTGAAACCATTTTAAATTGAAATATCCTGGATCATGTCAAGGAGGGTATCTCTCTTGGGTATTATAGGCCAAAGCAGTGGCACACTGTAAATGTAGAATGTAGTGTAAAGGACTGTGTGAGACTATAAAGCGGCAGTGCAGACCATTTACCACCTACGGACTACAATGTTAACCACAATATTCCAGGTTCAAAAATAGCAGTGAGTTAGCTTTCCCATGATTTAGTTTTAATTCAGTGACATCTTACAAGAGATTTGACAAGTCGCATTTTTCACTTTTGTCTAATAAATTGAACCATAAAAATCATCACTGTGACAAAATACAGAATGTTCTGTGTCTTGGATTTACTGTCTCCAGGCTCTGCTCTGCAAAAAAGTGCACACTCTGTTTGCCCAATCAATCCTTGTTTTGTCATTGATGAGTGTCTTTGTATCATGTTTTATGTTGTAAATGAAGCTGCTGTGATGCAAGTCAAATTTCAGACTTTTTTCTGATAATAAAGTTCAATCAATCAACCTATACATCTATTATTCATTCAATCAACCATTCAATCATTTAAACAATCCATAAGGAGTATACAAGATATCATGCTCTGGTAAATCCTTGATTTAGATTTAGTCATTTTTATCATTTGATTGCACAAACGTTAAGAAAGTGACTCCATAAAGTTTTAAGGTTGAGTTAAACTCATAACATGCAACATTAGTAAATTCAAAGTTGTAAATAAAAGAGATGGCAGAGAGAGAGAGCTCAAGATATACACTTGAGTCTGTCATAATCCAGAAATATCTGTAGAATGGACTAAAGACGCCGTGCCCTTTAAACATTGTTTTCTTTAGGAAAGTGTAGTGGAGATTTCCTAATCTTTAAATGCATTGAATTGAATACGGCTTGAAGTCATTTTGTGCTTTACTTCTCTTTTTCCATTTCCCAGACTTTTGCTATACCGGCAGCCAAGTCCCATGTAGTGAAGGTTTTTCATGAAAGCTCCTTTTGTAGGATCATAACTCTGAGCCAGAAGAAACCTCCCGACCTTATATGCCTTAGTCACAAGAAAAACCTAAGAAAACCTGTAAGCGTGACTTATTTGAACACTGAAACATCATTTTATATCATTATCAAACTGTTTCTTGTGCTTTGGTTGTAACATTTTACTCCTTTGGCTCCTGTTCTTGCAGGATGAAACTATCAGCCTTCATTTGCACACATTGTTAATTCTTAAAGTATGCATGAGTCAGTCATTATGAGTCGTGCACTCAGTGTAGTTTTTATTGTCGTCAATAGATGGCAGCAGTCAACCAGCCTTGATTATTTTTGTTTTCTAATGCGTAACGATCTCCCCTGTGCATGCATGTACTCACTGTATGGATGGTAAAAGTTATAAGTAGGTTTTTATTTTATTTACACATTTTTGACTCTTTGATGATGTGACTTAAACAGGAGGCACACCACACTACCTCCCACAAAACAGCCTTTTCTCGTCTGAAAATTAGTTTGGAAAAAAACTAAACATCCTCAAGAAACAGAAATCTAAAGTAGGATTCTTCTGATTTGATGTGTTTCTATTGAAAACAAGCTCACAGTCTTACTCAGAGAGTTCACATGTCAGAGACAAACTACACCTGAAACTCATTAGAATGAAAATAGATACCTCGTGATTTAAAAAGACATTGCTGCCACATGTCTGCAAACTGCAAGATGAAAAGAACACTATGTCCTCGTCATGTACTCGATAATAAAAATATGGAAAGGATCAATAGGTGGCATCTGCGCCGTACCTCTCAGAGACACTCACAGAGCTTTTATTTAATAACAGGGACTCAGTATCTGATAACATTTGAATGGTTGTTTTTCTAATAACATTTAATTAAAAAATCAATCACTTGCTGCTTTGGTTTGTTGTGTCCTTGTTGCAGCACAGTCAATCTTTTTCACAAGTTAGTTAGATGGGCTTGCTGTACTTTTCTTGATGACTCAAGCTCCAAATAAGAAGAAGAAATGTGCCTCTAATTGTTTGCTTCTGTCGACCAAAAAAGTAAAAGTTCAAATCCAAACTTTAATGAAGTTAGCATGTGATTGGTACGAGAGAGATGGGGTAAAAATATTCTGATGAAAACCAAACAACAGAAGTAGAAGGTCTGTACATTAAACAGAAGAGTGCCTCACATAAAGCTTTACAACACAGGAGAGATTAACCGTGTTTCTTTGCAGAGCACATGTTTGTAGGTTGACTCATCAGCAGCCTTTTTTTTTCTGCTGGAACAAAAAAAATGAAGTTCAGCTGAAAATGTCACCCAAGAGCATCACTAGAGATTACGTTTCACAAGCAGAACATCCCTGTAGACTTGTAATAAAGAGACATAGAACACTATAAAAAGTTCAAAGTAACTCAATTAAAGTAGAACGGTAGATATCCTGTCTCTACTCCAAAAACAACAAAGCTTCCAGTTCAAAATAAAAGTATTTGTTATATAAACACCCAATCTTTCAAATGTAACAATTCTCTTATTCTCTTCTTTAACATCTTCTGGTTTATTATTTCCTCTTCACAGCCGCGAAATAGTCTTTGTGTATTAATACAGGTTTAGAAATCCTTCAGCTCACGAGAGGTGAATAACACATTGTGTTTAAAATCAGTAAAGTGCACTCTAATGTTAGCCCTTTGCTGTGGATCTGATGTGCTGGACCATCTTCATGCTGTCAAAGCCTCAGAGAATTGCAACTTTCTTTCAACAGTTATAACAAACAAACAAACAGATAAAAAAAAGTTGTATTGACATATGGTTGTATTTCCCCACTTCCTTGTTGCAATAATCCCTTACTTATAATGGAATCGTTGCAAAAAAAATAAAAAAATTCTCATGCACAATGTTTTGCTGCAGAGGCAAAGACTTTACCCAGCTGCCTCAGAAAATAAACTTCAGACTGAATACTAAAGAAGAAGAAGCAGGATATGAGTGCGGAAATTATTTTTGGATTATATAATGTTGTTGCTCTCTGAGTGAGTGAGACAAGTCAAACAACGTTGTATATGTATTCGTGCAGGCATTTCTGATCCTAGCTTTACTCACATCCCAATGAAACTCTAAAGAGGCATTTCAGAATGAGAAAGTTATACAATTATGAGCCTCTATTCACCAGCAGATTTTCATTGGTACGAAAATGGCAACATCAATTTGATAATATTGTTGGAGTTGAAAATTGCTTCACAATCATGTTTGTACAGTGAGCTGAGTGGCCATTCAGAGCGTGCAGAAGGATAAGAGGTCAGCTAGGCAGGAGGTCAGGGATCATGTGCAGGGAGGTGTTCCTGGTCCTTGGGCTTCGAGAGAAGGGAACAGTGAGGTTGTGAGTTGTCTCACATAACACCCTTGCTTGTCCAGAGGAATCAAAGTCGGTGCAGAGGATGTACACAAAGGTGTCTCTACTTGATCAATTAAGCAGCAGATGCCACACATGCCAGCTGTGCTTTAGCAGTTCATTTCTGCCACTGGGTGGTAGTCACAATCACTGAGGCAGGTTACTGTCTCACCTATAGGGCACAGGGACAGTGGTGGTCTGTCATTGGAATAAAAACCTTGCCAAATGCTTTATATATATATATATATATATATATATCCATCTGGGCAATTGTAGTCCTGTTTTTGTTTCTTGTAAACTCTTGCCATCTTTGTTCCTTTCTCACAAAGAACATCAAACGTCATCCTTGGAAGTGATTTTCTGTTTGTTCCCAAGCTGTGAACAAAGTTTTTCCACTTTCCTTTTTTGTTTTTGTTGGGTCCAGCAATAACTTCTGTTTTCTGAATTCTCCATTTG